CCATGGAACACAAATTTTCATCACAGACATGAAAGTCTACAAACAAGTTGCACAACACGGTGAATTCAAGAGATTATGTGAAGTTGAAAATGAATACATACACATCCAGTATACTAAAAAATTAACCCAAACAGTCCCAAATCTGGCAAACGGATTGGTTTGCTTTTGTGATTTTCTCCTTATGTATATGATACAATTTGCCTTATAGCACATTTTCTCAACTTGGGGCAAACACTTTTTATATTTTGGGAGATGAGATAAATTTCAAAACTGTAATAAAAAGTTCACACTAAAAAATAAAGAATATCTAAACACACTGAAAGCAATAAGTAAGTTCATTATTTGTAGTTATTAAATATAATTGTTCCTATATTCATAAATTTATAATTAATTAATATTTAAAAATAATAAAGTTAAAATTTATAAATACATATGTAATATACTTTTATAAATTTCAATTTTCAAATAATCAGCATTTCTCAGACTTTAATCAGATGAGAACCACTTTCATAAATTAAAATGTTCTGCGAGCTGCCTTACTCTAGTGCCTTTTGAAAGCAATTTTTAGCATATGTTACTACTAGTATACTTATATTGTTACACGCGTATGGGTTCGTAACAGATTCAAAGCACACTGGTCTGACAATAGGTTAATAAAATTTATTAAGAGCATTAAACACTACACAATGCAAAGCGCAGCTAAAGAAAAAGCTACCTCGAGATATCTCAGTACTTTGAACTCATGCCTAGTGTGATGTATGGGTGACGGCAACAAACAAGATGTATAGAAGACGCTGGCTCTTAATCTGAAGGTGCCAAAAGTTTTAGTTTCCAAGAGGATTCCCGACAGAGAGGTCATAGGGAAGGCTCGTGGGAGCCATTAATGAAACCGAAATTAACTTTTATTACTTTATATATTTCAGTTATTAGTATTAGTTTTGTGAAATAAATGTTAAAAATACAAAAGGATGGAATTATTTCTCTATGAGGCAGTGGATCAAGGAAGGGATGATATCACACCTAGCTAAAAGCAACAACTGAGAGCAGATGCTCTCTCAGGTCTTATATAGTTTTTACCCTGGTCTCCTAGATATTTCTAGTGCTTTCTGCTTCTTGAAATTACTGGAAGGCTATATGAGGGTTGAATTACGTTTACAGCTGATATACCGATAAATTACATTTATTTAATTACAATATTTATTATAGTGATACAGCGAGTAGACAAAATTAGTCACTAAAGCTGTTGTCAGCTCGGCGATATTTCGAGAAATTACTGAGATACCCATTTACTTAATGTTAAATGGACTTGCCCTTGTATTCTTACTTTTTCTGCATAGCTTTTCTCTCTAGATTTTTCATGTTATATTATGCAGACTATCTATGTACAAGGTTTTTTTAAATACAAGTAATTAAAATTAATTTAATTTTTATAGTATTAATCCATGGAGTTCCAATAATTTTTATGTTATTAACTAAAAAATCAAATACTGGTACTCATATTAATGAGATAGCTGTTTTATATTTGGATGCATGATTGTACGAAGGACCTTAGTCATAATGCTTTAAATTCCTCTTTTCTTGCTAAAACTAGAGTGGAAAGTTCGTAGCTAGAATAACTGGTTACAAATTTCTTAAAATGCCAGTCTTGGGAGAAAAACAGACAGAAAATTGCCATGTGTAATTTTCAAACTCTTGAGATATTCAGCTACAGTGTTACACAGTTAATTTAAATTTTATTTTTTGTCTTTCTTTCAGAAACACGGAGCTAATGTATTATTTGGAATGCACCGCTTAATAGGAAGAATAGTGAGAAGGGAAGAATGCAATAAAAAAATCACTACCTCAAAAAAAAAAAGTATCCCTCATTTAGATAGGTAGCTCTTGTTAACTGCAGTATCGAATTAAGCAAATAAATTAACTCAGCAATTTTAATTTTTCTTTGAAGCAAAAAAAAAAAAAAAAAAAAAAAAAAAAAAAAACTTCATTTATTATTTTAAAAACATTTTCTTGGTCTAGGACAGCGTTTCTTAAAACTGTAGGTCACGGGACCTGCAGCAGGGGGGGGGGTTCGCCAAAAATTTAGCAGTTTAAGTTTGCAGTTACCCAATATTTTTACACAATGTACCTGAAAATAGATAAGACAATACAGAAACAAAAAAAGAAAAACGTTTCGACGCATTCTTTTTATAATAGAAAGGTTCATTTTACTTGCTTTGCACGTGACGCTGTCATTTCGTCTGTTACTTATTTAAAATTTTCACATTGTTCTATGTCTTAAAATCAGAAATTAAAGATAATAACCTAAAACTGCAATAATATATTACAGTACAAGTGAAAAAACTGACAGTTTCACACACGTGTGTGTCGGATTTGCGCAATGCTTATGGGGTCCCACAAAAATTTTTATAAATATTATGGGGTCCTGGGGGTTACAAAAAAATATTAGTGATAAAAGGGAGTCACAACTGAAAAAAGTTAAGAAACCCTGGTCTAAGAGTCTTAAATTCAAACGTGTGTAGTATTTGGGTGGGAGGAAAAGAATGCCGAATGTACTGGAATTTTCAACTGCTTTCGCAATTCTTTGACCAACAGAACGACGGGCACCTGTCTGTACTCTTCATGCAAACCAAAGGTTATGTTAATGCAGAAAAAGGGGGAAAAGCTATTTCCGGGAGTATGATTCATCATCTGACATTCCATATTAGGAAGAAAAGTTGTTTATTTAGTTTCGGCTTTGGTACGGGGGAAAATTGCGCTTTCATTAAAAAAAAAAAGCACTGAAAGCAAAAAATAAGCACTAAAAACAAAAAAAATAAGGGCTTTAAAGAAAAAGTAAGCAGCTATACGGGCCTTTATATTTTATTTTCAAATATAAGGACTTATAAGCACTTATAAGGACTGCTACGAACCCTGTTATCTAATTCGCAAGGTTTTGTTTTAGATATAATCTAGAGAAAAATCATTTGCTTCGGACGTCCAAAATCACTTTTTTTGTTCATATAACAAAGTATTAAGCCAAGTTCCATAAAAATCGTGAGAAATTTGCGGTCGAAAATCGGGAGTCTCCCGTCTAAATCGGGAAAGTTAGCAAGTCTGGTTAGCCATTTAAGTGGCATGCGATTCAAAATGAAAAAAATATATAATAATAATAATAATAATAATAAAACTGTCACATGTTTTTAATAAGATCTGTTTTTTAATCCACTTGTTCCCATTAATCAGAATGGACTGAGGTAGTGGGTAGCCTTCACATCAATTAAAAAGTAACTGAAATTTTATTGTATCTAATAATTTTACTAAATACCATTTATATTAATAAATTTTTCCATGCACAGACTTACAAATGACAATTTACAACCTAAGTGATTTTTAAACAAGATTCCCATATCGGTTCTTTTACTTATATTAATGTTCTTATATTAATTATAAAAATGTTGCTTCTTGCAAGGAGTTCAGTTTCCCATGAATAAGATTTAAGATTAATAATCTTTTATTAATTTAAATGCAATTCTAATAAATACATTATAAATTTTCAACAGTAATTAATTTTTAAAAAATATCTGCTACATGCCTGCAAAATTATATTTCCATACACACAAGGTAAAATCTAAATGGTATAATGCCTTCAACTTTCCTTGCTAAAAGAAATTTTAAGCAATAATTCAAACTTAACAAGAGAAAACAATGATTTGAAGTAAGACCATGCTGTTTAAAAAAATTCTTGAAGAGCAGGAATGGATATTAAAAATAATACTGTGGTCTTGAAAAATGATTATTAATGAACTAGAGAAGAAAAAATTGTAATCTGAATAAATAATAGCTATAATCAAAATCATGCTGATGCTCATCATGCCTGAGTATACAATTTTTATTTAAATCAAAATTATGTCAATAAATTTAAAATATTTAATAATTTCAAAAAGAAAAATAATTTTTATTTCACATACATACAACACAGGTGATCAACTAAAATATTTTTTATCAATTCAAATTTGTTTATTAACTCAAATAAGTTATGTCTCTTACGTTATGTCATGTTTGACTCAAATAAGCTTTTATCTTCCTAACTAAATAACATAATTCAAATTAAAAAAAAAAAAAATAAAAAAAAAATGTTAGCTTGTGCCAATTACTTAAAAATTTGTCCTTAACGTTATACCAAAATCACAATAAAACAGAAAATTCTAAAGGAACAGAAATAAAGGTCTGATATAATATAAATACAGAAAACATGTTTGACTTAATTCCTACAGTAGCACATTCTTAAAAGTGCAGCAAAGAATTTACAAAAAAACTGCAGAAATTATGAACATTCATTCCTAATAAATAAAGGTAATATTTCACTACAAATGCAATAATGATATTTCAAAATCTTCCTAAATAATATGATGATTGATAATTTTTATTCTGTAAATTTAACAGTTAAAAATAAAAACAGCAATGTTAAGAATTTAAAATTAATTTACTTTCTATTTAAAAGGAATGAAAAGTTTAAAAGAAAAGAAAAAATAAAATGCATTTAGCAGGTAATATTTAATAAATTACATTTTCATAGAAAATAAATTTGCAGGATAAAGATTTCAACAGAAAACCTTAAAAAAATTCACAAAAAAGCATACATTAAACATTAAATTAATTTCGTTAGAAATCCATTTTTGATTTTCTATGACAGAGAGCTAAAAAATTTAAAAAATAAAACAGTAAAAAAAATTTCTTATATATCTCATGCTTAGGGATTTAAAAATGGAAGGAAAAAAATGTACTTTTATTGAAAAGAGTGACATCATTTGCTACATAAAGGCATCCCCCCCTCTTAGGCAGATAGCCCTTTCATATTTTACCATACTTTAAATAATCCATTTAATTTGCATTTAAATAAATCTCCATTTCTTTGCTTTTAAAGTAACCTCCATCCCATTATCATCATATTAATCTGCAATTCATGGAAAACAAAATGGTGAAATTAAAGGCAGGAAAATAATTTAAGAAAATTATCAAGGTTTACGACAAAATTTCATTTTAATATAAAAAAATAAATACATTAATATTTTAATATATACTTTCAATAAAGAGATTAGAAAAGCCTTTTGATTCAAACCTATGTTTAGAATGAAAACCAAAGAACAGGAGTCACCTAATACAAAACTTTTGGCAGACATGAGTCTACACAGAACTGGCAAAATAGTTCAAACATAGCAGGATTTAGTAATTTGATGGTAAATCCTTTAGGAAAACAAATATGCTAAAAACACAGAAATTAAGATTTTAAGAATAAATCTTATGAAAACTGCTACACCACTTCTACAGCCACCTTGTAATTACAAGCTTCTCTTCACATAATTTGCATACCACTAATCAAATTCATTCAATATGAGCATCACAGAATTAAGAAATGATATGGATTAATTATTATCATTACTTTTATTACACATAATTAATATATATAAAATGAAAGAGGGAAAAAAAAAAGACTTCAAAATATACTGTTCAATTTATTTAACCCAAGTTTCATTAAGGTTTCAAAATTGATGCGTATTAAATGAGTTTTTACATACAAGAAGACGCAAAGGCTTTTATATTTAGCATGTTTTGGGTTTATTTGAGCCATATAAAAAAAGTCACAAGATACTAATAAAAAATAGCATACAGAAGATTAAATATACTGCAAGTATATTTAATGCTATTGTATTAAATATACTGCAAGTATATCTAATACAATGTGCTCAAAGTATCTTTTAATCACTGGCCAGAATAAAAATTTTTTGTTCACATGTTCTTCAAAAGATTAGCAGATTTTCTAGTAAAATTTTTGAACAACGAATGTTTCTATACTTAACTGGAATAAATATTAAAATTGAAGATAATATTCTGTCACCATAATTGAGTTACTTTCAAAATGTTATGATTCATATAGTTAAAAAAATGCTATACAAATAATCAGTTTCTAATAGAAATACATATGTAATGCTTAGATTTTGATATATTTAAAAATAGGTTATCAAATATCTATTTCATATATTCAATGAAAAATTTTTGAAAGTTTCCTGATAAAAATTTTCTTTTTACAAACTTTATAAAATCTAACAGTTTTATAAAGTTTCTATATTTTGCATTTCTATATTTTTGTTTTAAAATTTACCAGACAACCTAGGAAAAACTGAGAAAATTTTAAGCACTACAAAGTGAAATTCAACACAAAATACAAATGGAAAATCTTTAAAAAAAATTGCTTTGTAATTATTACAGCATAATTTCCATTTAAAACCTTTTGTATTAAACAAGCCAGACACTTATTTCATCTCACTACAAAAGACAGCACTTTCCAGCAAATTATAATATCTATAACAATTTTTTTTCCCATTTACAACACACATACTACAGTACAGTTTTAAATTAACAATAATTTGAATAATTTCTCTGATACATTGAAAGAAATCACAACTGATTGCAAGCCATAATGTATAATACCTAAAAAACATCTTTTCAATCATGGAACATTAGGCAACACATATATAATGGCATGCAAGATTAAATACACAAATTGAGATAAATAAATATACTTTAATTCTCAAGTGCTGAATGAAGAAATGTAATAATAAAACTATAAAATGATGATATAATACATATAAATATAAAGTAATTATTCCATTAACACAGAATTACAAATGAACAATGAAAATAAACATTTTGATTCTTGAAATAATTACCTTAAGCTATTGTTGAAATATATATCAAAATTTTTTACACTGAATTGTAAATTTAACAATGACATGGAAATCTTATGACAATAAAAAATTCTTTTAACATTCAAATTATTTTCATGAGGCACTCGAATTCTACATGTGGTACAAAAGTGAAAAACAACTATTTTTATCATTTTTCTTTTTAGATCCATTACTTAGACATTAGAAAAATTTCACAAAATAATTCACAATAGTAATGGTAGGACGGCAAGATGTAACTCTTTGTTATATAAATCAAGCATTTTTTTAGAAAAATTTTAAATATCAATGTATTCAAAACTATTGCTCTTTAAAAGTATACTATAAAACAACTTTACAAATAATAGTTACACATTATTCAAAGTTAAAGAACCACATATAGTTGTATTATATTTTCAATGTAAATAATGAATGAATTTTATATATAAATTCAGTGGCAATATTAATTCAAAAATTGCATAGCATAAATTTAATTTTGAATTTTTAAATGCATTTTTAAAAATCAAACTTTTATTATACTAATATATATGATTCCATATGCATAGTTATAGCTTACAAAAGAAGCTTTCAATACGTTCAGAAACACACTGTTTATACTTCTTGAAAATGAGTGATTGTAATTGATGAATACCACACTTACATGACAATTTCTCAATCTCTTATTATTGCTTTCCAAGTCATCAGACTTTCATTCAGTTATTTCAAAAGTGAGCATTAGAAGTCCAAATAATCATTTACATTGTAAACAAAACCTATTCTATTTTACTTTATTTACATGCTAGATATATTAATATATTAACAGAAACAATATTCAACTCTTAACAACCAATAATTAAATATAAAAACAGAAAATAAAAAGAAAACTTTTTTTAAAAACAAGAAATTCTACTTTTATTTTCCATAGTAAAAAATTTATGCATGGAATATTTTGTGCTAAAAAAGAATAGAAAAGCAGCGACAAAGACTAGGAACGGCACAATGCACGTACATCGCTATGCATCATGTCACACAACGTCTACAAAGGTATATAAAATATAGACTAGTGTTTGCATCTGACAGTCCAAATGCTTAAGTAAAGGTAGATTGATAAATGTCACAAGATACTCAAGTACCTTAATCATGGATTAGATCACTTTGTAAGCCATCATTATAATGATGAAGAAGGGATTTATAAAAATGAATGTTGTGTCCGCCGTAATGTAACAGTTTCAACACAATGATGACAAACACATGGAAGAGCTGGCTTTACGTAGATCTGCAAAACCGTAGAAATATTCTGGCACAACACGAAGCATACCTTGTGATGTGATCAGAACGAAGGCACACAAAGAGACATAAAAAAATTTCTGGGGACATTTTTAATAAAAAATGACATCTCTCACTAATACCAATTTTATAATCAATCGTTCTTTGCTTCATTTCACTTTGCTGAGTTAAGTTTCACTTTTCTGTATCTAATCAAAGTAGTTTTAAGTAGAATAAAGAGCAAGTGTCAGGACATATTAGGACATGGAACACAGAATTAATTGAAAAAACATGTAAAGTTCTTTCATCAGCTATAATATTTAAATAGTAAATCTTTAAATGAGTGATGTATTTTAAATGTTCTGCACATGAGAAATCATTTGAATATATAATGAGAATTTTCTGCTATTGCTTACTGAGCAACTATGAGGTACTCGTATGGAAAAGCTGAGACACAGATTCCCAGGAAAGTATGCATTTGATCTTCATTTTCACATTTAATAAAGTGTAACGTATAAACAGCAAAGTAATTTTCTTCTTGCTAGTTGTTTGCATGTGGTAACTCGCTAAATAAATCAGGCTATCATGCTATAAAATAAATCACTGAAGTTATGTTCTAGGATTCACAACTAGATGATCCTTGATCTTTTTCTTCACCTCTTTTAATCTGAGGACTAGGAGGGGAACTAAGAAGAGAACTATTATTTGATGCTATTGAATTACGAGGACTGGATTGATCAGGTACCTAGTATATTAAAAAAAAAAAAAAAAAAAGAGTTAAAAAAGTTTAACAAACATTTCTCTAAAGAATTTTGGTACTTATGTATTTTCCTATCAACTCTGAAAGTTTGCAGTTATCCCACCAAACCTGCACCATCACTTCTGACATAAGCTTGACGGAACAAACTGTTCTTTATTTAAAGAGGCAATCAACAGGTACACTGCACAAAAAAAAAAAAGGGACAGTTCTATACCTCCCATTCTACTGGGGCAATTGAAAAAATTCAAATGGCGTTTTTCATGTCTTGAAAGTGCGCCTTAGGATATATATTAGATTTATATATAGCATTGTTCTAACATAGGTATTTTAACACAAAATCGGACTTTTCCCGAAATAACATAGCAATTTTTTTCTATATTTCGATTCTACGACTCAAATTATGCCTAGATATTAAATTTTGTAAAATTTGGTGGGAAATTTACAGAGAAATACAAAAAGTTATGTTGCCAAAATTTTTTCAGTTTGGCCAAGAATAATTTACTTGGCGAACTTCTTAATATATGGCAACGAATTTTCCTTTCCCTTCCATTATGACGGAATGGAAAAAAAGGCACCTCGTTCCTACCTTTTTACATTGTGCATGAGCGGAAAATCACATCGTTTCTACTTCCAAATAATTTTAGCAAAGAGTCTAAATCACATTTGATGTTTTATCACTTTCAACAAATATGCCAAATTTCATAACGTGCCAATATATAAATTCACGTATATCTTCGGAAATTTTGAATAAAAAATTGTAATTTTTTGCAGGTATGCTTAGAAATATGTCTACTTTAAGATAATGGTAAAACTTTTATAGATTATAATTCAAATTTTTTTTTGAAAAATTTATAAAAATTATTTTAAAATAGATCATAAAAAAATGGGTGAATTTTACTTGGAATGAATGTGAATTTCGAAATGTGAAAGGAAGAATCAAATAAGCTTAATAAAAAAAGAGAGATTGATAAATATATACCAAACTCAATTAACATTGAGGGGCTAAAATTTCGAGAGCTAATTTTTTTAAAAACTACTCGTGTGATTTTTACAAAACATGGTAGTTTGGCGTAGTTTGAGTTGTAGAATTGAAAAATTGAAAAAAAATTGGTATGTTATATCAGAAAAAGTCTGATTTTGTGTCAAAAATACCTATATTAGAACAATGCTATATATAAATCTAATACATCCTATGCCGTGCTTTCGAGACATGAAAAACACAAGTTGAATTTGTCAATCGGCCCACTAGAACGGGAAATATAGAATTGTCTCTCCTTTTTCTTGTAGCACAGTGTACATGTTGCAGATATAGCATATAAGAAACTTAAATATGGACTTATGCTTTAATATTATCTGACAAGCAAACTCATTAAAACTAACATTAATCATTTCAGTGGCCATAACATAAATCTATGTGGTGTCATTCTGTTCTGTCTTTTACAGCATCATTCTGCAAACCATACAATCTTTATTGTTTTATGTATGTACATCACCACAACCGATCTCATAATTCAGAAAATGCTCTATTGTTTGCTATTTTGTAGGAGGCAGGTGCCAAATTTTAATCGTTTTATTTTCCATTCCTTAAAGCAGAGAAATAGCAGTTAATTTGTATCTTCCTTTACAAAATTGGCTTATTATTTTCAACTGGCTTATTGAGGATCAGAGGTACATACAACCAAAGCAAAGATCTTATGAGAGTACCGTAACATCATGCTAATTTGTTACTGGTGATAAATTACATTGTTTGACAACATTTTATTTGTTTGACATTTTATTTGCTGAAAATGGTCAACAAGAAAATACGTAAGTATTTAAATTTTCTTACATCCATTGCTTTGCAATATACAGATAAAGAAATACAGAAAAAGCTTTATATTTTTACAAAATAATAATAATAATAATAAATAATAAATAAATAAATAAATAAAAATAAAAATAAATTTTTTTTTTTTACATTTTTCTTAAAATTTTAAAATCTTCTTTAAAAAAACTTAAAAGAGAAAAAGACAGAAACTGGAATAGAAAAGTTTACAAGACTCGCCTCACGATGTCCAGATGAACTCTGGCCTGAACCAGCAGTATAAAAACTAGCACTCTGGGACGAATGTTCTTGGGAAGAAACAGAACCATCTGGAGAAATAACTGGCATTGAAACAACTGGACGCTGGTTAGTCAACTTCCCTATACATAAGAATGAGTAAAAAATAACATAAGTAAACCTCATCATATTCATGACAAATTCCTTTTAAAAATCACTGAATGTAAAGTGTTTAAATTAATAAACATTTACTATTACTATTAGCAAAAAATATGTACTTCCGAAGTGCTTAAAATATTTAATTCTTTTATGCATATAAAAAATGAACATTTCTTTCCTCTCTCGCAAATGTATGATGCAATAAATCAGAGTACTGAATTTCAAAGCGTGGCTTTATTATGCAAATGTACATCATAACAATTATATTATACATGCAGCAATGTGTGATTTTTGACAGAAGATGAAAACTGTAAATTTCATATTAATTGCTAATTGATTATATGAAACATGTATACAGACCAACTATTCAAAATAAATAACCTAACTTATTTTTTTATTTATTATAATTACAACTGGTCCTCATTATAACAATTCATCCAGTTTATAGATTCATCGTGTTAAGTATGTCTTAACATGTGGTCATTATAGTGAGTGTTAACTTTATTATTATTCTTGAAATTTAAAGGAACATAAAGACAAGTAATGTGTGTCAAATGATAGAAAAAGTAAGCTTTAAGTGATTATATGACTTTCTTTCATTATATAAACAATATCAAGAAAAATAATCAAATTATTGTCATAATTCTTTTGGCATACCCTTTATTTTATTTTTTCTGTCTCCACAGTGATAACAGACAGGCACATAAGCTTAGAGGCAAATGTGGCAAAAACACATGAACTTGAATAAATTTAAAAAGAAAAAGGACATGGTATAATAGATGATGCCTTAGAATAGAGGTTCTCTATAATGGAATTTTTGCTCTTTGGGGTATGAAAAAAATTATGAAGAACAGAGGGAAATAATACAGATTTATAATTAATGCTGATTATTAGCAAAATATTCAGAAAGTTTAAATTTATTGTTGACTAAATGAAAAAAACAATTGCAAGGAATTTCGCTGTAATAATTAACAATCAAAACTTGTTTAACACTTAGCGCTCTGCGCATTTTTGTACCATTGCCTACCAGCAACTCCGGCATATTTTCACAATGGAACGAGTGTGAAGAAGGAGTCTCAATTTAAGTGAGAAGAAATACATGTGTTTGTGAATGTTTTTGATTTTATTTATTTTATACATATGGGATCTTCTTCTTGTAAATGAAAAATAAATTTTAAATTTTGTAATTCGCCATGGTGTGATATCTTTGGAAACAATCTTCCATGTGCATTCTGGGTTTACTTGGGTACATGTCACAGTATTCACTTGTTTGACATCTGCCATCCCTTTGTTTTCTTGTAGAGCACACAACACAGTCCCTCTTTGGACCTTTCCTCATTACGTGCAGTTTTCCGTTTAGTCTTATTTCAGAAATTGATTTAGAAACTCTTGTTCTCTGACAAAAATCTCTTAGGAGTCGATTGACTAAAATTTTCCTGTACTTTAAAATGCGTCAATGCTTTCTCATTTTTATTATGCTGTACAGTTTTATACAAGATGTATGAATTAATTATTGACATCTCCATTCCCCAAAAGAATAGTTTCCACCACCACTTAAGTGACATCCTCAAAAAGCAATAACTGGAGGCGTATTGATCAGCCCGATCAACAGCACCCATTGACTTTGTGTGCCCGACAACTACACTTGGCTTTTCGATCACTTCGTTTGTACCACCTCGAATAAATCTATTAGTGGTTATCATTCCAGCATTATGCCAGTTGCTCAATAACGTTACCATTCTCTTATCCCTCCAAGGTAAGAACATTGTATTTCCTCGTTTGTATGCAACAGTTTTTTTTCTCTTAATTTTGGTTTCTTCAGACTTGTTTCAACACTTTTTCTGTTTATTTGTATGGTACCAGTCAAGTGGCATTTCATTTTTCATAATTCTTCAGCTAAGGTTATACTAGTGTAATACCTGTTGGTATGCATATAATATCCTTCTGCGGTAGGTACCCGATCTAATAATTGTTGGTACAGATGCAGGGTAATTCTGGTGCTGACCAGTAAATCTCGCCTTGGCAGTTTTTCGGAAGTGATACTTCCATAATACGGAAGAATGCTATACACATATCTAGTTTCGGAATCTGCTAAGAATGTATGTTCGAATGCCCCGCTTGGTAGGTTTATTGGGATTGTATGTGACGAAGCTTATCTTTCCTTTTAATTTAACTACAGATTCGTCAACGCATATATTTTGTCCAGGTATAAAACAGTTTGAAAATCTTGAGTTTATATATTCCAAAAAAAAATTAGATGCTTGTTGAATGAATGTTCTAATGTCATTTTTCGCAAGATCCTGCGTTTTTAAATGCAGCATCCAGAATATCTGCAAAAATCTCTTTCTTGTAAATATTTTACCAAAGAAAGGGATGTGACTATTCTCCTTAACTGACCAATAATCCTGCATATTTGCCAGGGATATCATACCCATATTGATAGTAACTCCAATAAAAGCCCAAAACTCATCCTCTTCCATCGCACGCCACATTTTCCAAATGGAATTACTAGATATTTCTTTATTCTTTAGAACATTTTCTGCGTAATTGTTGGTTTCTTTTATAATTTCATTTACCAGTTCGTTTGTGAAAAATAATTTGAAATAGTGTGTCGGCTGTACAATATTTGTAGGAATTTGTGGTCCAATGACCTTTGGCAATACACTAAAATGTATTCTATCCGGAATATTTAATTCTTCCGTGACATCACGCCATTCATCTAAAAGTCTTTTGCCAACTTTTTGCTTTCACTTTCAATAACTACCATTCGTCGTCTCTTTGGTAGCATAATTTCGGAACCACTACTTGAAGTGTCAGAGTTATAATCAACATTGTCTTCCACAACATCTTCTAACAATGAAAAATCAAACACATCTTCACTATCACTCAACTCTATATTCTCATCACAATAATTATTTTTCTCCATGTTGCTAACCATAAAATGCGTCAAATAGCGTTTCAATCGTAACAGTAGCGAAACTGAGCACGTTTTAACTACAGATAACAATTGCCCACGCCGACAATTCCGTAACATTTTAAGCCTAATCATGCTAAAAACATTGGGCTTCGCAGTGAAGACTACGGAGTTACAGAACATTTGATGGACGGCTCTGCAGTGGAGCCTATGGAGTTAATGAACAAATGACGGATGGCTTTGTAGCGGAGCGCTAAAGGTTAAATTCAAGGTGTGCCCATGACTGTCATGTTACTTGATTCCTTGTACATTGCATGCAGCCTCTCCCGTTCCCATTTTGTCACTGATTATCATATAAAACAATTGATGGCAACCATGTTTTCCAGTAATAAGTGAATCATCAAGTCAACTACATAAAGTATTGTGTACATATAAAATGAATAAATAGTTAAAAATGTAGGTCTTCTTATAGAACTGAATAAAACTACCATGGATAATAACTCTGTCTGCACCATGCACTTGCTTAAGACTATCCATTTCAGTTAAGCTTGAAATTTCATAATGATGAACAGTTTCAAGAACATACATATAACTAAACAATATTTTTTTTTTTAATCAATCAACTTAGGATTACAGAACAGTTTCATAACTGTTTTCAAAACATATCACAAAACTGATTTCAGAATCAAAAAGTCAGATTTAAAGAAATCGTGTTCTGAAAAATATAAGAGTGAAATACAACTTTTTATCAGAAAATAAGCTTCAACATGAAAATGAAGTCAAACAAGCACAATGGCTCTATTAAAACATATAACTAAACAATATTTTTTTTTTTTTTTGTAATTACTGTTCTCTAAAGAACAGCATATTTTTTATTATATAAAACTGACAGTGCTCACAGTGTTCTGTAGCGCGATCTATTTGCGAGAATGACGCCACATTTTGTAGGAAGATTAAACAAGACAGGGGACGAAGGATTCCGTGAAAAAACAAATTAGTTCCAAAAGTCACCGTTAGGAGAATATTTGGCGCAATTGTAATAGAAAATAGAGTGTTAACAAATGCAAATCAATACGGAAATTACCTTTTATTTTGCATTCAAATGAGGTTCAATGTGGCTGCTGTTGCTGTGGACCACATATTGCATTCTGTGCACAGTATGCACAACAGCAGAAAGTAACATGTCTGCAGGAATCTCCCGTACAGTCCATGATATGTTATCCTCCAACGTAGCCAGATCCTGGACCACTCCTTGAAAGACCTTGGACCTAAGGTAACCCAATAGCCAGAAGTCGCATGGGGTAAGATCAGGTGACCGAGGTGGCCATGCAGTTGGAAAGTAGCGGCTAATGACTCTTTCTGTTGTGAATTTCTCTCGTAGCATCTGTTGCACCCGCACAGCATGTGTGGAGGGCCTCCATCATGCATGAAAATGATTTCCCCCAGGCACTGTCTTTGCTGAAGTCCCGGAATGACAAAGCTGTTCAACGTGTGGCGATATTTCTCTCCGGTAACAGAACAGGTTTCCGGTCCTGTCGGGGTAATGTTCTCATAGAAGAATGAACCGATGATAAATTCCGCTGTGAACCCATACCAAACAGTTACCTTTGGTGCATGTGGTGATTTGTCATCCCAAATTCAGCAGTTCTGGGTATTCACAGTTCCATTCAAGTAACAGTGGGCCTCGTCTTCCCATAAGATTTTCCACGGCCAAGCATCATCCACCTCCATTCTGGCAAGAAAGGTGAGAGCAAAAGTCAATTGCTTATCGTGGTCGGGGTACAGTAACTCCTGTACACGGCTGATCTTGTACGGATAGAAGTTGATAATCTTTCGTAACATTTTCCATACCATACTGTAAGGCATATCCATATTCCGAGCTACTCCACAAGTGCTAGAGGTGGCAGCAATATTGTCTGGTCCTCTGTCGACAATCGCCGTGGCAACTGCTTTGATTGTATCCTGTGGTACAGGTTTTCGTCCTCTGCCTGACTGAACCTTCAGAGAACCTGTTTTCTCAAACTTCGCAACCATTGCTTTTAGCCCATTAACTGACACAGGACCGTTTGT